CCTTCCTCTGGAAAGATGTTGTTTAAACTGCAATCAAGCCAGCCAAAATGAAATAAATAATCATTTATACACTTCTGTAAACAAAGGAATGAAACACTGTGGAGCTGCTGCTGCCCCAGAAACACACGGTGTGCCTCTCCCTTCCCTGCTAGCGCTGGGAAACAGATCCGAGGTGAAGCATAAAACCATCCCCATGCTCCTGTTACATGAAGGAAATCACCCAGCACCCACACCCCATGGAGTGGATGTGAAAACAAACCAATTACCCGCCCAAAATGTTAAGATTTACCCCATTTTGTTACACGGAGTGCTTTGAAAGCAGGAAAGCTCTGGGCCTAAATCAGCGTGACGTGAGTGCTGAATTTTGATGTATGCTGTTGACTTCCCCAACACAGAGCAATTTGTAGTAGCTTTGCCACGCTGTTGTTTTCAAAGCTCCTGCTACATCACAAGCATTTATTTCTGACCACAAAATTACATTTATTCAACAGAAAGCAGCTCAGGGTCTTTAAGAGGTTAACTTCTGGAGTGCTTGGCTGCTCTCCAGCCTCTGTACTAGAATCAGTGCTAACGCAACAGCACACAACAGCACCCAGGCTAGCCGTGATTAATAGAGTGCTGAATACGCTGCTTTCCACATACACACACTTTTCATTCCCTTGCTTCCATAGATCATGGACTTATCCTCAAAATATCTGACTGAAATTGAATTTGGCTTCTCTCTCAACCGTTCATTTCCTATGTTATGCAAGGTTATATCCTTTTCTGCATGAGCAGAACCAAACCAGCTGCAGCTTTTGAGAAGAAAATGTGTTTTCAATTATGAAGCTGGCCTGAATATTGAACCACAGTTCTACTGCTACTCTAATTGAGCCATCATGGAGTGAACCTACAGGAAAGAAATTGTATTAATTAGGTTTGTAAATTTAACATAAGGAAATTAAAGGGGGTAAAAAAAAAAAAAATAGCAGCTCAGGAATACTCCTTCAAAACAGAGAAGAAAAGTAGTTCTGAAGTTGTTCAGGCACACAATTAGAGCACTCCTTCAGAGGCACGATTAGCAGTTCCAGCACACCAAACTGATTTTCAGCTTCTGATGTTTGCATATCGAAAATTATTCAATTACTCTACTGACCAAATTAATAGTTTAAAGTGGAATTCAGCTAAGTGGGGAGCCAGAGTGGGCTCATCAGAACGGCAATACCCTTAAAAGTACTTGCTCTGTGAGAAGAATATGAGAAATGGTTTTCACAGACATGAAGTCCAGCGCATTGGTTTGGAGTATGTGCCTTAAAGGGTTCTCCAAATGAGGGATTACTGCATTACTGTTGGACAGTACTGTTATGCCACATGAAAAGAATGCTAATGACCTCAGGAAATCCTTTCCCAGCCTTAAAATATCTATTTGATGACTTCACAAATACAGATTCCAACATTAGATTTCCATACCGCAACTTCAGTTCTGTAAATTAAAAGTTCTCTAAACATAGCCCAAGAACACAACTTCTTTCTTTAGTTTTAGGATTTCATGCACAAATATCCATCCACTGATATAAATAAGGTAAGGCACAATGACCTGCAGGAACACAGCTTATTCAGATGGCTGCTTGAAGGAGTGCCTTGCCAATCATTCGAGGCCTGACTGACAGAACTCTTTAGCCTGTTGTGATTCTGTCCTGTATTTAGCTCAGCAAGTTGCATCCTCACATTAATGGTAAGAAAAAATAAAAGGGGACACACACACAGAGATTTAAGATGGAAACACCAAGGATTTTACACCTCTTAAATTAAATGACTTTTGTCTTCCTTACAACAGCCTATTTACACCATCCAGACCTTAAATCTTCCAGGAAAGCTAAAAAGTTATCCCCCAAAATCAGAAGAATAAAGCTGTCAATCAGACACAACATTCTGTCAACTAAAAAACCCTCAAGCCTGCATTCAAATTTCCATTAAAATGCTAAATAAGGAAAAAGTACTGTAATAAAATCATACTACAGTGATGAACAGTGTTTCATGTTGAACTAGAAATGCATTTTAAAATTTGTAGAATGCTAAAACCCATTTCATAATGCTTTTTCTTTAACTGTCATCATAAAAAAACCCGGTTACTTAAAGCACTGACATCTATACAAAAAAAGTTATCTCCAACTACTAATGGAAACTGAGTATTTGATAGCTGGAACCGTTTTCAGCTGAATGGACAAGACGTATCTGTGGAATACAGAATGTTGTGGTTTGGGCAGACTTACTGATAAATTCATATTATACAAAAGGAAGATGGGGAGGAGAGGGAGGAGAAGTATCAATATCCTGGAAAGAAAAAAAATTGGCTCAAGTGACCTGTGGATTTACTGTAAAAAGTCAACTGCCCACAGGTTTACAAGCAGATGTCCCATAAAGCATGCTTGGGAGGGTATCTAAATGTGTGAGCTTAAGTTAACCTCTCTCCAAGGCATGTCAGGCGCACCGAGGGTACAGTTCAAGGGCAGTTTAAGTCATCCTAGGCTGACACATTTGCACTCCTCCTGCCCTTGGATTTACTCTTCCTGGCCTCTTCCCTGTCCAGTGGGTGCCTGCAGTGAGCTGCTTCAGTGAACCAACCTGGCAAAAAACTAAGCCAGCAAAAAAGTTGGGGGAAAGAAAACTTTGTGCTCACCGTGGGATCATAGAATCATAGAACAGTTCAGCCTGGAAAGGACCTTAAGATCATCTAGTTCCAACCCCCCTGCCATGGTCAGGGACATCTCATACTAAACCATGTCACCCAAGGCTCTGTCCAACCTGGCCTTGAACACTGCAAGGGACAGAGCATTCACAACTTTCATGGGCAACCCATTCCAGTGCCTCACCACCCTGACAGTGAAGAATTTCTTCCTTATATCCAATCTAAACTTCCCCTGTTTAAGTTTTAACCCGTTACCCCTTGTCCTGTCAGTACAGTCCCTAATGAATAGTCCCTCCCCAGCATCCCTATAGCCTCCTCTCAGATACTGGAAGGCTGCTATGAGGTCTCCACACAGCCTTCTCTTCTCCGGGCTGTTTAACAAAAGTGCTGAGGCAAGGCAGGAGACGGGGAGCCAGGCCTTAGGCAGCAAGAACATAGCAACATCCATAGTAAAGCTACTTAAACACCTTTGCTAGTTAGGGACCTGTCTGTCTTTTCTGATCTTCTGGCCCTCCCTAGTGCCCAGAGCTCTTTCATGTGGGAACAGTCATCCCACATGAGATCTGTTTCCCTTCTGAGGCAGAATCGTAATGTATTATTACTTGGACATGCAAATAGCACCTGCTTAGTTCTGTCATTACAGATCAAGAAATGATGGGGCAATAGCAGTAGGGGTGGAGATAGGATTCGAAGGGAAAAATGTGGTGGAGACTCTCCCTCATGGTAAACAGAGAAGCTGCATCATGCAAGAACCCTTTTTCCCAGCTTCCATATAAGCAGCCAGTGAGAATAAGATGGTGCTCCAAAGTTCAGTGGTACCATTCACAATGCCCACCTAGGTGTGAACCAGAGCACTCCTACAGCATTCCCTACTGCTCCTTGAGGACACTCGCTCTCCAACATAAACTTCACCTTTACATTAGTGAAGCAAAACCGAAGAGGAGGAGGAGGGTGTAGGAGCCAGACCAAGGTTAACAGTGAGTGAGCTAATCGAACGGGAGAATCTTCCTTTGCTGTAGGCAAATTGGGATTTATGATTCTTACTTGATTCTCAGGCATTCCTGTCATTAAAGAGCAGTGCTGAAAGCACATATACACTTTTCAGTCAGTGCATTGCAAGCTTGAAATGAAAGTGGAAAGGTTTTAAGAGCCCTGCAATCCACTTGGAGCAATTCTGAAGTGTAAATTTCCACTGGCAAACAGACTCACACAAGTCATTCTTTGTTCTCACAAATTACCATTAGATATATCAAGGAGCAAGTTGTCCTGTTTATTTATTTATTTCTAGTAGTACTTGGGAAATTGGGTTATAAAATAAAAAAAAAATATATACTGCTTTTAAGGTGAGGAATTATTGCCTGTTTGTGATGCATATTTAGCAGGATGTACAAGCAACTAGAAATCCAACTGTCATTACAATTAACAGGAGTTGTGCACTTCATTACTTATGCAGACCTCTGAAAACACGCTCCTGAAGTTCTCTGTGCTCTGAGGGGAACTGCAACAATGTAAGGACAGCCAACAGCTTATAGATTGAGAAAGTAAAAGGCGTTGCAGCTTCAACACAGCTAACTTTAGGAACAGAGCTCTACAACGTGTAGCAGAGTGTAAGCTAAAACCTCAATCTACCACCCCACGCAGGCAGTGGTCTTTGTAAGAAGACATGATTTGCAAACTTCATACAGCACATTTTCCTAGAGGCAACACAACAGCTCCCATCTGGCTGAAGCACTCACGTGAAGTGAGCACTTCAGTGCTGCCCACAGATGAAATGTAAAATCCTGTAATGGCCCAGCTGCCTTTTCCTAGAGAAGTTCTTCAAAGTAACAACAGTTGGTTTTTAAACTTGGGATCGCTCTCATCAAGTGTTTCTTAGTGGAGTGGTGGTGTGTGAAGTAAGAGCCAGCACCAGAGCTGTTAATGTTTTCTGTTGCTTTCCCAACAAACACCTGCCAACTTCAGGTTTTCCATCAAGCCCCCTAGAATACAGCAATTTACAGCTGAAAAGGTTTACGCTGAAAACTGTTTGTACTATCTTCATATTTTTATATGTACATTACATTGCACTGAGTGTTCCAACCATGTTACTGAGACACCATGAACTGGCACGTGCCTGAGTCACTGCAATGGTAAGTTTATGCTCAGGTATGTTGGATGCAAAGTGATTTGACCAGTTTAGCTTGTTGTGCACAGACCCTGCTCACAGTACCATGCCCAAGAGCTGAACCCCAGCAGTGTTCTCTGCACCCACTCGGCTGTGCTGAAAGACTGCCAGCACAATGCACTCAGGTAAAGCAGTATCAAAGGCACCATGAGAAGCATAAGCTCTTACCTCTCCCTGGAAACTCTTCAGTAATGGAGCTACCTGTTTGCGCAGGTCCTGGAAGACAAAAGCAAGATATTTCATCAGAAAAATTTGGAAGGACAAGTCATTGTCAAGTTTTCCCTCACACCATTTTCAGTTCTGAAAGGCTACTTAAATCCTGATCACATTTTATGGAAGCTTTCATTAAAATAGAAATATATCTAGGATTCATTTGGAACAAGTCTGCATTTCCAGTTTGACATATACCTGTATCTGTTGCAAACAGCATTAATTAACAAACCTGCAGTGATGTTGGGTAAGCACTGAACGCCTTCAATCTCGTAATTCAGCTGAAACACTAATGCGATTAGAAGTAAATGCCTCTATCTACCTAAACAGCAGCTACACCTCTGAACTTATGCCAGAGAAATTTCCACAAATGGAAGCTAGGCTTAAAGGAAGAGGACTCTGGAGCATCATTTCAACTTAGAGTGTTGCTGTTCTGTAAATGGTCTATTTTATTAATGATTTTCTCAAGAGTGCTCCAACTTTAGCCATCAGAGACCTGGAGACAGAAACACTGAAGAAGATAGTTGGCTTCTTTTTATTAGTCATCTATTTATTTGTTGGTTTCTGTAAAACTCAAAATTTCTTCTTCCCAATTACAACACAGTGCTACAAAATTCATGAAAATACTGCCCACAGAATCACTCAAAGTTTATAGCATATTTTTACTTAGCAACCAAGTTAATTTAGGACAACAAAGTTACATCTATCTTGCATAAATTTCTCTGTGACTCCACTTTTAAGCTGGTTTGGGTCTAATTCATTTTAAAATCTCAGAATTCTCATTATTTGCATGCCTGAAGAATAGAATCCTGTCACTTTGCAGAGAACACTATTATTAGAGCACAGCCCAGAAGCTGGACTCCTGGTTTTGCTGTGGTATTACACTGATGCACAAGCAGCAACTTCACCGTATTTACAGCTAGAAATAAATCTCTAAGAGGTATAAACCAGTAACATGATGCTGCATCATTCAGGTGGGCAGCACTGATGGGGGTTTACCCAGGAGGAAGGTGAATTTCCCATCCTTGGAGATTTCCAAGGCACAGCTGACCAGACCTACTGTGGGTGCTGAGGATCTATTTTTAGGGCCAGGTGAGATCTAGTAAGCCTCTGGATGTTCCCTCCAAGAGGCCTATGATGCTCTAAAAATACAGCTTGTAAGTGGGACACTCACAAACTGCTTAAGAAACCTTGAAATCTTCCTCTCTTCACAATGGCCACAGCCCCTCAGCTATCCTGAACCTCTGGCAAGAGGTCTTAAAGAAGTCCACAAAGTATTTTCTCAATATAAAAAGGGTCTATTAAAGCCTTAGGCCTTTCAGAAAAGGTGACTTTAAAATGTTGGGAAATTCTCCTTTCCAATGCACTTACTTTTACATCTAGAGTCATGCAGCATATTGGACATTAAACCACTCACCAAAACACCCTAAACCCTGGATTTAATCTGATTTTCCTGAAAGAAAAGTAGGCTTTTGAAAGATGTGATTTTTGTCATTTAAATGACAAGTCATGCAGAGAGTTGGAGTATCAGTAGTTCTTCCACTCCCTGAAAAATGGCTTAGGGGGCCAAACACAAATGAAGCTATCAAGGACAAATGATCAGCCAAATCTCACTTCTTACATGGTTACTGCACTAACATACAGCTAATCCCTATCAAGTTAAGGATAATGTTGCAGCTTTGTAAGCTCCCTCTTGGGCACCAAACCAAACACTTCTCTTCTTAGACTAAATCAAATCACTCACATGTTTCCTGATATTTTCTGTTGTTTTAGGACAGAATAAAGGTTAGATACTATCCTTGTATATCACAAACATCTACAAATAACACCTCTATCAAAGCAAACTGGCAGGTTAAACATCTTTTCCTCACTTTCCAACTCCTCTGGGAGACCAGAGGGCTGTGCAAGTTTATAATACGTTTTTCTTTGTAACATGATGACGATGACATTGAAGAAAGTAGCATTACTTTAACTGCCGATGGCTTGAAGAAAGTAGCATGACATTAACTGTCGATGGCAAAATAAATGCCCCCATTCAGGGCCTAAATCTAGCATGGTAGGTTTTAACGCAGTGAAATTACAGAGGTATTACATTTACAGTCAGTATACGGCACCCTTTATAAAATCAGGAAAAATTATACCATCCAAGCAAAGCAACATTACTTGAAATAAAAATCATCAGCTTTAGGGCTTCCTGTCCCTGGTATTGCCTCTGAATTTATCAACTAGTTTGGCACCAGTCAGCAAACTGATGTCAAAACTGAAAGCAAAAATAGAAGAGATCTAATTCCAGACCAGCCCCAGCTCTTTCACTTGCACTGCTCTCAAGAGCAGGGTGTTATTCCCACTGCCTAAGCATCAGGAATCGCCGTTGGTACCTTGGGAGATGACAAAGCACTGCCATGGCATTCAGTAAATGAAGCCTGGTCAGCTCTGGTGGCAGGAGGACCCAAACCCTGCTCCTCTGTGTGCATGGCAAGCTCTAGGCAAGAGCCTGCTATTGATATGTACTAACTTTTGATAGACAGGATTTGCAGCACTTTTTATTTCATGACATAAACTATGGCAGGACTTGCTTCATATGTTGAGTCATGAGAGATGTTGCTGGTTGTTTATAGCAGAGAGAAGAGGGAAACAGAGGGGGAAAAAAAGGAATAAAAGGGGCATCCCAAAGCCAAGCAAACAGTTGGTCAAGCTGTCAAAAAGGGAGAAAAGCTTTCAAGCACTAAATCTGAATCCCACACATCCTCCACTTAGCAAATTCAGGATGCTAAATACTCATCCCAGCAATCAAAACGTTACCAAGCAAAATCCATGCCATAATGGGAAAACATGATGTGCTTGATTTAGACAGCAGCTTTTGTTGTTGGTAAAACTGTTTTTAAAACACTTCACGATAGAGGAGAATGCAGCTCAAAATGATTCAGTCCCACTGCCAAGTCCTTGGTTATACCACTGTGATCAATCTGGGGCAATCCTGGGAAATGCTGATCATAAGAGCACAGTTTAACTGGGTAAAATGTTTTGACAACTTGAAATCTTAGCAATAACTTGACATTTGTTGCAGCTACACAATAGAGACAGAGCATCCCACTTCCATTACCTTCACAGAGCAAACCACATAGGAACAGAAACTGCAAGGAACTTGCCTCAGTATTTTAAGTGCAACTAAATACATCATGAGGTAAAGTAGATAAATGGCACACACCGTAACAAAAAGCATAAACACCTTCTTCAGACCATTTTTTGTTTTCTCCCCTCTTTTCCTCCTCTCCTTGGAAGGAGTTTATAGGCTGCTTTTATAATTCTTTTCTTGGCTAAACAGCATCAAAACTTTAGACAGCTTACAACAAAAGGGAAGTAAAAATAAACACGAGTCAGGAATACATATGCTGGAGTCACCAGCTGAAACTGCTGGGGAGATTTATTTTTGGCAGGTTGGAAAAATTCCTCATCAAACCCAAAATACTACACTAACATCAAATAGAATTTTACCTTCTTTGCACTAAACTGAACAGAAAGAAGGATGTTCAGTTGAGACCTGGGGGAATCTGTACTGCTGGTTAGCAAGGACACCATATGATTTATTATCTGTTTAATGTGTGGTGGCCTTTACTGCCTGGGCTGTGATCAAAACAGGAAAAGCATCCAACTCCAGCACTCGCATACAGCTAGCAAATCACTGGGATCAAGCAGAACAGCTGAAAAGGGTAGATGCAACTGAACATTAAAATAAATTATAATTTATCAACACAAATGCATTGAAATACTTGAGTACTCCTATACAATCACATTATTAGCCTATTTTTCCATGCCATCTAAATGTGTATGTTCTCTCTCTCTCTGGATGATTTATCAGGATAGAGCAGTTTTCTGAAAAAGGCTCTATCACAGACAAACTCAGTATCTGAAGCAGAGACTATGAATTAGGATGCTGTATCATTATCTGAATCAAATCTGAAAGCTGAAAGCTAATATAGCATTTTCCCTTTACAAGAGTATAAACGAGTTTATATTTTGATCAAGTAGCTACACAATGAAATCTGAATCCAAATAATTTTTAACTCCCTTTCCAATCTCATTAAAAATAACTCTATGGAAAATAAACTGAGAATAAATCTATGGTAAAACCATGGGCAACAAATGCATCTTTCTGTCAACTAAATGACATTATTTATCCATTGCTATCTTAATACACTGTGTACAGTACAAAGGACATATCAATGGTCAGGCTACCAATGCTGTATTTGTAATTTACTTGAGGTCTGATGCTACACAAGCCCCTTCTGATCCCCTCGCAGACTGCTCCATCTCATTTTCTCCAAAATGCTTATCTCTAAATGTCACAAGAGCCCTATGACCCTGGTTTGATAAAGTGGTCCAGCAAGGCTAAGCTTGACCTATACACCTGTATCATCTACAGAAGTATTGGGCTCTTGTAAAATAAAACAAACCAAAAACTGGGCAAATGTTATATCCTACGCCTCCTGCGCCACATTTCCTATGATTTGTTCTATATATCACCTACATGAGACACACATTGGCTGGTGAATGTCACTGTGTCTGGCAGAGAAATCATTATGAGAAGCAGCCCACTTGTATCAGCATTGGTGACATCATTAGTTCAGCTGTCACAACCTATTTTTGAGCTGACTTATCACCAGTGAGATGCTACAGCTTTCCTGCCACCTTACCCTTGCGCATCTCCTTCCTTGTTAGCCCACACGTAATCAGGAACTAACAAGTGGCCCTGTGCTCAGAATTGGTAGTGCTGCACATCGTGACTCCAGAAACTTTCTTGTAAGGGCTTACAAAAATTAAAAATAAAGAAAGAGAAAACCCAACCCAGAGCAAACCCCAATACCCATTGACTGCGCAGGATGATAGCTGTCAGTTCAAATCAATGTAGAAAGAAGAAACAGCACGGCCTCAAGAGGAACTCATGTCAAAAACCAGCAGCCAGGTTTCAGCCCTGCTATCAAGAGGTAGGTGATGTGCTGGTATGA